TCCCGGAGCACCCGCCGCGGGAGCCGTCCTGGCCGCCCTTCCCCCCAAATCCTGCTCTTTCCAGCCTTCCGCCCACAGCCGCCTGCGCCTTTCAAACACTCAAAACATCCGTCCCACCAGCTGTCTGCTGCGACTCCGATCCTGGGCCCCATGAAAACACTTGGGTGAAAGTTCCCGTCCACATGATTTTCAGTGTCTCCCCAGCAGAGTCTCAGAAAACCCCGCGCCCCCAGTGGAGAACTCGGAACCTTCTCTTTGGCTGTGCCTACAGAGGAAAGCAATGTGAAAATCGAAGAACAGTTATTTGAGAGATGCAATTACTTTTTAAAAAATTTAACTGCTCTGGATCAGCGAGTAGTTATCTTTCCCTAAACTGAAAAGCTACCATTTTCTGGGCATGACCTGCTATGCCCATGGCTCCAGCCTGTGATATAATTATTTAGGAAAAATAAAATCTTTATCAATGGGTTCCAAGTATTCCACAGAAGCCCACAGTTCTAATATGGGGTGCCCTTTTTAGAAAGCAGTCCTTGAAAGGTGCCATTTATAGTCACTACCATTTACAATATGCACACTGTGATATGATTTATAATAAAAAATATATATTTGGTCTTCATCCCCATTCCTGGCACAGAGCTCTTGCTGATAGCAATAAAGGCATCTTTTGTTGTGTTAATGACATGACACTTGGAAAGACCTCAGGTAACCTAAGTTTGGGGGCTGATTTCTTGGGGACTCAACCAAGTGATTAGAGGGTTGGAACCTTCAGTCCCATCTACTCCCCAAGCTAACTTCAGAGGAGGGGAGAGGAGCTGGAGGTGGAACAATGGGCAATGATTTAATCAATCATCTACACTAATCTACACTAATAAAAGAGAAACATGCAAATTGGTGTCACTCTGCTATGCTCACCAGCCAATCAAAAGAGTATGCAAGCCCTAACTGGTTTGGCTCAGTGGATAGAGCATCAGCCTGCAGACTCAAGGGTCCCAGGTTCGATTCCGGGCAAGGGCATGTACCTTGGTTGTGGGCACGTCCCCAGTGGGGGGCGTGCAGGAGGCAGCTGATAGATGTTTCTCTCTCATCGATGTTTCTAACTCTCTATCCCTATCCTTTCCTCTCTGTAAAAAATCAATAAAATATATTTTTTAAAAAATGAGTATGCAAATCAACCCAACAAAGATGGTGGTTAATTTGCATACATTGGCGCCCAGCAGCCTGGGTCCTGGGAACATCATTGGCACCCAGGTCACTCCGAGGTAGGCCCCGTGTGGGCCCTGAGCAGTGTAGGAAGGGCC